ATAATTGATGTGGCAATATCAGGGGATAGGAGAATAGAAGACAAAGAATTGGAGAAGATCATAAAGCATCAAGATCTGAAAACCAAAGTTAAAAGATTATGGCATAAATTGGCAATGGTGGTGCCAGTGGTTATCAGCACACTGGGTGCCATATCAAAAAATCTTGGACGGCACTTAGAAAATCTGCACATTGATAAAAGTTCCATCTGTCAATTACAGAAGGCCACGTTGATTGAATCCGCACATATACTATGTCGATACATTATGACATCCTGGGTTCTTGGGCAGAACTCAATGTGAATGAAGGCCAACACCAGTTAAAGAACTGGCAGCTGTGATTTCACATTATTGTGTATTTAATAATAACAACAAGATTGACCCCTTGGATAGTCCCATCTACCCTTGGGTGTTGATATTGACCACTTTGGGGAACCTGCTTTATAGGAATGTATCTAATAGATATAGACTCAATTTCCTTTGATTGTCTCAAAGCCCTAATGAATACTTAAAAAAAAACAAAAAACTAGCTACTCAAGCAAGAAAAAGAAATCCATCTATGAGTTCTTTAAAAACTCCCACAGGTTTATGGCCCTGTTTCCCCAACATGTTTCAGTGGTTAATAAGGAGGGGTTAATGTGTTGGGGGAACATCAAAAAGGGATTAATTAACCTAGCCAACTAACACTCAAAGGGCCAAATGATGACCCAGTTACATTAGTTCTACCTGTCATGGGTCATCTGGATACATTTAAAATAGTCAGTTGACTCACTCTGCATATCTACACCTCCATGAAAGGGAGCTGAAACATAAGAGCAGTTGAGAGAACTCCACTATAGAAGTTATTGGCAAGGCATGGCAGCACTAAATGCACTTCCCAAACCACATGTGCTGCTGCTTGCCCAGCCAATGGAAAGGGGGCTGATGATGCCATGCAGGCTTGGCAGTGTTCTTGATGCAAGGGCTTGTGGGATGCCAGCAACTTTCTGGGGCGAATGGGCAGGTCTCCACTAACTGGTGAAATCATAACTTTTGACCTAGTTAGTATGATTGCGTGTTGCTAGAATCACCAGTAAGATTTGACTAGGCCAGTCGTATTGTGGAAAGAGGGCCATCAGGATGTAGGTTTCAGGCCTTGTGTTCAATAAAAGACTACAAAAAGCTCCACAACCTATTCTATGCCAGAGTCATTGAAAACATTATTTATGAGCTTCCCATATGCTGTGGGACTAGATAGGTCCTAGGCATGATCTTCTTAGTTTGTTACAAGAAAATAGGTGGTTGAAATCCTAATAGGCAATCTCTTTTAAAAGAGAATATCCATTGCAGCATTTTGCTACATATTCTGATGTTTTTCATTTCTGATATACCCTTTGCTAATGTACCCATGTATCACCAATAAACAAGATAAGTATGCCACAGGGCAGATTGAGTCTTTTAATCAGATTGGATTCCAAATGTTTATAAAATAGATTGGGGTTCCCAGACTGATTTAATTATTTAATAATGTTGCACAGTAAATACTACTATGCTGGACAACCTGGAATCTTGCAAATGATATGTGAATAGCCAAGCTGGATCAGATCAAATACTCATTTAGCTACCCATCACAGTATCTCTAGGAAGCTCACAAATATGACACAAGCATAGTAGTGCCCCTCTTCCCAATTCTTCTCAGCAATTTGGATTGAGAAAACTCTGGGTTCTGATATGAGAGGTAACATGCAGCCATCATGATTAATAGTCATTGAAAAACCTTATTTTAAAGCCATTCAAATTGGTGTCCAATGTTAACAATTTGTGGGATATACTGTACGAAGATGTGCTTCCTTTTATTTCTGTAGAATCTCATGCCATTCGGCTTCATTGAATAATCTCAGGATATCATGTTATCCTGAGAGAAATGAAGAAAAACATCTCTTTACTCAATGTCTCCATACTATGCATGATTTTATATATCCCTATCGCAACTCTTTTATTTGCCTATTTCTCAGAACCCCGTCCCCTTTGCATGCCAAGGATTTATTTCAGATCCAGTCTTGGGGTTGTTTGGTTGCTTATTTTTGCCATCCTTTACATGCTACAATATTTTCTTGTAAGTGTAGTGATTAGAATTTTACAAAATATTCCAAATGTAATCACACTGTATATTAGGGCTTTGCAGTTTGAAAATGACACCAAAGTGTCTTGCACATTGCCCAGGTATGAGCACATCACTTCCCTGCTATTCATTAAAGCATGCATGTCTATTGCATGAGCTTGAGAAAAAGTATAACTCTTTCAAGTCCTACAAAAGTTTTAAAAACTGTTTTTCAGAGCTAAGGTGGTCACTGGTAATAATGTGAGAAGCTCTGTTTTTCACATCACCACCCCGTATCTATGGGACTGAAGATTCTGTAACCTAAAACTAGAACTCTTGTAGTGGGGAGAAGCTACCCTTTAAATCAAAAGCTAGCCTGATGTGCCCAGAGGGAGTCACCTGACCCCTAAGGGCCAATAGGGGAAAAGAAGGGGGTTCTGTCAGGTCTTGGCGGGAAGTGTTTTGGTGGGGTTGTGAGGGAGTTGGCTGGAGTCCTGGATGAGCGGGTTACCTCTGGCAAGGTTGAAGGTATTTAGTTAGCTAGAATGGTGTTAGGGTTTTTGAATTTAAACTGTGTGCTGTGTGTGTGTAAACTTATTTTCTTTTGGTACCTTTAATAAAGTTTATTTGTTGTTTCAATCCTGAATTTGACCAATTGCCTTCTATCACCTGCTCAGCTTGGCTGAGCTACAGATTCCCAAACATTTTGTTTTGGTTTCTCTTCTGTATGATGTGGAAGGGAGAGGTTTATAGTGAAGGGATGGAGGCAGCAAGGAGACCTAATTTGCCAATCACTGTTCACCCATAGGTATGGTAACTGTGCATCCTTTATTATAAAGGACAATCCTTTATTTCAGAAAGCTGTCCTTTAGATTTATTTAGTTTAATTATTTATTTTCTTGGTTTTGCTCTTGTATTTTCTTTTGTAAAGCAGTTATAAACGTAAACAATTTTTTTTATCCTTATGAACCTCTTTCAGATTTCCCCCTTTTTCAGGTTTGTCCTTTATTTTTCTAAGAAAATATGGTCACTGTACTGGTTACCTTAGAGCTGAAGTACCTCAGCGGAGGGGCTGGTTCAACCTTGAGGACACCTTTCTCCCTTATTACACTTCTGATCTGCAAAGAGATCAAAACCACTTCTGAACAAAGCTGCCAAGATTTCAGAGACATCAAATAATAACTTTTCAGCTGTGCCCAAAGTAGAGATTAATTTTGAAATTCATTATTCCAAAGAATAATGAAGCTAAGGGATACGTAGAAAATTAAAATGGTCTTCCTCAACAGGCAAATGTATATTAAAGGATGTCCCTTCCAAAGAAAATTGTTTAGTAAGAAGCTTAAAATAATGTAAATGAGTAAAATAGAAAATATAAATTAAAATATAAAAATATAAATTAGTCTGTTAAATATAAATTAGTATTGGAGTTAAATTCATGTTAATTGCATTTATCTTGCCACAACTACTAAAGGATTTTAAAACATAAGTTGAGATCTTGTTCTATTTGTAGCAAATCTGAAGATAAATTCAAATTTACCAGTTGAGAAAGTATTCTAGGAATTGTTACACCAAGATAAAGAAAAGAATCAGAGCAGAGACTAAAACCCAAGTCCCTAAACATAACAGAGTTATTACCAATGGCATTAAATTTGATTTACTTCAGTTAATTACCAGACAAGATATCAAAATATGCTATTCAAGGTTAGAGATATTCTATTTTATATATAAATGTATATTTATATATATTTGAATAGCATATTCAAAATATACTATTCAAGGTTAGTTTCCATCCTGTCAAAGAAACATAAACCATCATCTACCTGTCTTACACGTTTGTCTCACCTACAGTGTAAAATACCTTCAATATTTATTATTTAAATAAAAGGGAAAGCACACTACTGGTAACCACAGATAATTCAGGAGCTAAATGAACCCCATCTATCAAAATCCATAATAAATAAATAGTTTCAGAAAATAATTTCTGTTTCTTTTCTGATTATTTCCAATATGAAAGTATTTTTTCTTTTTTTTTCTTTCTTTTTTCTTTTTTTGCAGCAGGTTCGTACTTCAAGTTCTTATCGCCCTAATCAGATGACATCAACAAACCTTTACCTAATCACTGCCGACTACTAATGGAGAGAACGTTTGCTGAGGAGATATAGGTTCTGATCTGAGTAGTTCTTGGGAGTAGTAATATAGGAGGAGCTACTAAAACTCAGTTTTGAAAGTCAGAACAAGTATAACAACAGCAGATGCATATGCTTGAACTGGGTTCCATGACAGTCATATGAAAAATAGGAGATGAGTATCTGATTTTTAAGAACAAATGAAGCCAAATCTTGCAAGGGGCATGTAGATCTGTCTGACTCCTGAATCTTACTTTCATGAAATACGTATAAATCTGCAGTGTGATCCTTTTTTTGTGAATAGCACCAATTCTTCTAGACTAGGCCAGGGAATGCCCTCTGCTGGCCAAATATCTGTTTATCTTGACATCTACTTTGTTCCTAGCATCTAAAGCCAGAAATATCTGAAGCAAACACATTGCCCTGTATAACATTATAACAAGAACTATATCATTGTTTTACAGGTGTGGTTTAAGAACCGCAGAGCCAAATGGAGGAAGCGGGAAAGAAACCAACAGGCAGAACTTTGTAAGAATAGTTTTGGAGCTCAGTTCAATGGACTGATGCAACCTTATGATGAAATGTATAGTAGTTATTCCTATAACAATTGGGCTACCAAAGGACTTACTGCCAGCACGCTGTCAGCAAAGAGCTTCCCATTCTTCAACTCCATGAATGTCAATGCCCTTTCTTCACAGCCCATGTTTTCAGCATCCAGTTCTATAGGATCTATGTCTGTACCTTCCTCAATGGTTCCTTCAACAGTGACTGGTGTCCCAAGCCCAAGCCTTAACAATCTTAACACCCCTGGTCTTAACTCTGCAGTTTCATCCAGTACCTGTCCTTATGCATCCACAGCCAACCCTTATATGTATAGGGATACTTGTAACTCTAGCCTGGCTAGCTTGCGATTGAAGGCAAAACAGCATGCCAACTTCACATATCCAGCAGTGCAGACAGCAACCTCCAGCCTGAGCCCATGTCAGTATGCTGTGGATAGGCCAGTATGAGAATTGAGAGACCTTCCACTGCTAATTATGAACTATTAACTGAACAAAGATTCCCCACCACATGAATTCCAGAAAGATGCATTTATAATACTGTTACAAAACTTTTACTAGCATTTTGTAAAGTATATATTTTTCCTCACTGAAAGTTCATTTGGGACAGAGGAACTTTTCCCCAAACTTTGAGTTCTCATATCCAGTGACAACAAAGACACCGAGGGAAAATGGTACAACTGTTGACATTGCTCATAATTTATGACAGCAATTTGTGCTGTATGTGGCTGGCCCTTGCTCACATAAGGGGGTCTAGGTTCTGTACTGGAAGCACCAGGTTTGGGTTTACTCTATGTATATTTCGTAAATGCTCATCATGAAATGCCCTGGGTACAACTGTTTTTCTGTTTTCTTTTTTAAAGAAGTAGCATATAGTGAAAGTTGCCAAAAGTGATTTGATACCAAGGGAAGGAAGAGAATTTATGTGAAGATAGACATGCCATTAGTTATGTGGAAATTCTGGGACAGAGAAACATAGAGATGTGTACCTAGGTATCCCTGGCTACCATAACCACAATAGAAGCTGTCAATATGTTACCAAAAGAGCACTGACATTTGGACAAAACTGAAAATAAGCAATCAAACTTGGAACAAAAGAGCTGTGTAATATAACAGCTCTGCAGAACACTTCTTTAAATGTATAAAATCAATAAGCTTATTAAATATATTTCATTTCCCTGTGCAATTTCATTTTCTACCAAGTAGGGAGTATTATATTCACCCACAGGGTCCTGCTGATTTCATTTTGCAATGACTTGTTCAAGTTCCCAAACTAAACAAAATAAGAAAAATGCCCTGAACATCTCATGCACATGTGATTATTGCATAAGCAACAAGTACTATTTGTATGCAACAATTCCTTACTTGTAGCTGTAGAAAAATTAGGTCTCATAACTGCAATTGAACAGGATAATCCACTGGTTTGGACAAATGGACTCCCTGTCCTCTACCATACCCAGGCAACAATTTCCAATTATTAGTTTCCATGATGATCCAGACAACCATTTCTTGATTGTTTTCCATTTCAGTGGGCTTACAAAAGTAGCACATGTGCCTCTGAATCTTACTACTGTTTTTGCAGTAATACTTCTATTGTCACAGGTAAGCGAGTACAGAAGGAGCTTTCCAGAAGGCCAATTTACCTCATCCCCAAATACAGGTTAGTGTGGTTTTCCACCAGAATTTCTGACGTTTTCAGGATCCAGAGATACACAAATCAAAATCCATAGATGCTAACCATGGCCAGTAGAACTGCAACCTAACTGTAACAAGAATGCATAATGGGAAGTGCTGAAGGAAATCATACTCATCCATTATTTTAACCTGCTCAAGAGGGGCAAACTGAGAGGCAGGTGGATACTATGGAGATAATTCCTCATTATATGTTTGTTTTTTTACTACTACAACATCCCCCCCAAACTACCCAAATAAGATGGGTGACCAAAAAAAAAAAAGTTAATTTATACACTCATACATTATAATTTTTCTTTAAAAGTATGTTTTGATGCTAATAAATTATTTGAATGCTAGCAGTGGGGCAGGAGGAGAGAGTTGACATTTTAAAAATTGCCTCAATAATTTTCTTAAAAGAGTATAAATGCTTTTAAAAAGCTGTTTCTTTTTATCTGTTGGGATTGTGTATGACTGTATGTGTTTGTGTGTATATCTGTGTGTGTGCATGTGTCTGTGTATAAACATACACACAGAGGAGAGAGATCATTTAATATCTTTTAAAATAAAGGTAAATTTAAATTGCAGTCTGATTTGAATTTCTTCACCCCCATAAATTAAAAGGTGGCATCGTGTTCATCAGAGATGGAAATCAATAAACAAGAAAAACTATAATGATTAAAGCTCATTTTAAAATTCCCAAGAATCCACAAAAAGAAAGCCATATGGTGCTGTGGTTGAATTGTTGGGCTAGAACCAGGTTCAAGTCCGTCTTCAGCCCTGAGTGAGTGTGGGGCAGTGCTCTCTCAGCCCAACTTTCCTGAGAAGATTGTTTTGGGGAAAAATTGGAAGAAGAATGCTATGTACATCTCCTTGAGGTCCTGGAGAAAGGCAGAATATCAATCAAACAAAACAACTAAGGGAGATTTCTCTTGTCCAGGAAATGAAGCAATTCCCCTTTTACAACTGTGAAATCCCTTCTTTTCTCCTATGCAAACAGACATGATTTCTGTACTTACTTTCTTCTATGAGCCTAGGAATTAGCTAGTGGAACAAATGTATTTGCTGATTGTATTGTCCAATCATTCACAAACTTGAAATTATTTATTTATTTATTTATTTATTTAATCACATTGTATAGCTGTCCATCTCACATAGCGACTTTAGTGAAATTACTTGGTCTGTATTATTTTTTTGGACAATTATAGAGTTATTACTGGAGTACTTCTGTTATTTTGTATAGGTTAGACAACTCCTCCCTAATCAGTTTGCCTTTTCAAATATCTTGCCTGGGTCTGCTTGTGTGAAATTGCTTCATATTGGTTTGTCTTTTATTTCTGGCACTTCTCAGTAAACCAAGGGAATGGTGCCAACTGGGAATGGTGCCCAGAAAGAAGTTGCTTAGAGGCAATAGAGACTGTCATCTGATTCACTTCCTGATGCCAATGGTCTACTTGGCCTTGAAGTGCCTGCCAGAGGGCTGGGAAATTCCTTAAGCACCCTCTAGAAAGCAGTAGGGTCCATTAGTTATCTGAGGCAGACCATCTAAATTGGTCGCACAACCCACAGAGGTCAGAAGTAGGCTTTCCAAGGGATAGTGGGTACTTGGTCCCCAACTTGTACATCAGGCAACAGTGTAGAAGGAGATGCTGAAGAGACAGAGGAAGTATCAGAAAGATCAGCAGAAAGTTCAGCAGAAAGATCAGAAATATCAGCAGAAGCTTGATTAGGGCTGAGGTGCCTGTGCTATAATATCAAAGAGTGAAACCTGAGGGCAAATAGAAGAGCAGGAAGTACAGAATCAACAGATAACAGAAAGGGATGCTCTCTGAGTCTTTGTACTCTTGAGAAGGATGAATAGCTTGATTCTGAGCATCTCCCATGAATGAAAGGGAAGTCCAGAGAAGCATATTTTAAGGCATTTATGTCCTGATTTTCCCCTTCTGGGAATGGTCAAGTCCAAAGAGGAGCCAGTGAAAATGAGTACAAATTGGGGAATCTATCAGTGGCAGAGCTGGCACCAGCAGCTTTGGAAAAATCTCTGTGCAGAACTCAATGCCACCAAATCTGGCTTGTCTTTTCTTTTTCTTTTTGTCTGGTTGGAATCAAGTGGCAAGCCTCTTGGAATTTCCTTGGAACCAATAAAGTTGCTACAACAATAGCTTGGACTCTGCACTGTTTAGAGCTTGCCTATCAGCATATGCATTTTTCTGCCGATATGGTCTTTATTCATTGCACTGCTTTCAGTAAGATATTTATATGAATGCAGAATGTATAAAAGCAGTCCAGACCAGATGAATCACATCAAATTTGGACGCTTCTTGAGAATATATCTAACCCCCTGTTTCTCTTTCTGCACATGTGCTTTAAATTAATGTGCCTGGATTAAGGCATCACTTACTAGGCATTTGTAAGTGAAAACAATTATTCCCCAGGCATAGTAGTGGATTCCTGCATTAGGCAAGCAGTGGTGTAGAAGATCTCCAATGGATGATTCTATGAGTGATAATGTATTGATTCTCTCTTTTAATTAAAAAACAAAACAGAAAGAAGGAACCATTCCAGAAGTTGACAGAGTGGGTGGAGAAGGGATACTGCTGGGTTGCCTTCCTCATAATGTGCTTTGGTCAGCAATGCCAAAGGCAACCAAGTGTGCAGCACTGCCAGCATATCTCTGATGGGACCCACCATCAAGAGTCCTTGGATATTCCTGAGAAATCAGTTTCACGTGTATCTTGCCTACCTGCTCTGCAAGATCTTCCAAATTGGCTGGCTTTGGCAAGTGTGGCAGGATTACCTAAAATGAATGAACACAATGTCACTGGAGTTCCTTGCTGGATGCAAAGATATTTCCAAGCTGGCTACTTTGATGCATGCTGTGGAGAATTTCACAGTGTTCACCATAGCTGGAAAACCTGAAAGATCTTCATTGCCTGTGAAGGAGATTCCAGGCTGGGTGGCTTCAGCAAGTGCCATAGAATTGCCCACTATGAACTCATCTTGTAGATTACCACCTTTGAGCCTCTTCTTTTGTGTTAAAAATCTTCCAAGCTGGATGGCATCAGCACACACTTTGGGCAATCCCAAAACAGTCAACCTGGAAGCATTTTACTCCCCACATGGAAAGGTTGAGATGGCTCCAAAGCAGACTATGTGGCTTCATTTTGATCATAGAAAAAAGGGAAGATCTTTATTGTTTCACAAAGTAGCTTTGAAGTGATGAAGAAATGAAGTGATTCATTTGAAGCTTTCTTGAAGTACTCCTTCAAAACTGCTTCATGACTGTGCTTTGCACAGTCCTTGAGTTTCTAACATTTCTAACTCAGCTGTTTATATAACTGATCATTTTTTCTGAGTTATTCACTTTTTTCATAAATCTGATTTCATATGATTTGCCAAGAAAAGGCCCCTGTGTGCTGGAATCCACATTGAACACCACCAACAATCCAGGGTTTTAGACTAGTGCCCTTCCCCATCCAGTTATTCCGGATTAAAATGCTGAGTTATGCTAGGCTTGCAAATTACTTCATTTATGCTATGCCAGTGGGTAGCAGGAAAGGGAATTCCAGGCTACTTCACTGTTATCCAGTCTCCTGATTTGTTGGGATTTTTTGTTTGGCAAAATGTAGTCAGGACTATCTATCTTAGTAGACTTGCCATGCCAAGGATTTTACAGTTGCCAGAACTACCAAAAGTGGTAGACCTGTTCTCTGACTTGATTGGGTTCTTTTTAAAAATTAGATGTACAAAAAGAACACAAACACACAATTCCAAAAACA